GCCAGGAAGCCAGGCTGGGCATGTGCCCACACACCCCAGTGGGTACATAGGGTCAAGTCAGCCTTGCTTGTGAGTGCAGGTGGTTTCTCTGCTAGAAGGATGGACCCTCCAGGCAAAAATCCTTACTTGTAGCTTTCCATCTGTCTATTCTGTCTGGGCTACTTGAGCCCTGTGGGTTGAAACTAGCCACTGCTAGCATCCTTGATCCTTGATCATTTGCCAGGCTACTGCCGCCTGGTGCTCTGCTCCCTCCAGAGTGTTCTATGGCAATGGCCACTGCCAATCATTTATTGATCCTGAATACAGGATTCCCTGGCGTGGAGGGGGAGGAGGGAGGGCTGCTCCTTTATCCATGCCCCCCCCCATTCTATCCATCCTGACAGAGTTAAACATGAGTCGCTGCCCCCCACCCCCAGCCTGAGGAGCTCCTGCTTCTTCCATGTGTCCATAAGGACATCTAAGCCACGCCCCCAACCCCAGCTTGTCTTGTTCAACACTGAGCCTAGCTCCTGCCCCCCAAATCCCTCACCGTCCTTGTTCACCAGTTCCTCAGACCCTAAGAATTTTTCTTTTTTTTTTGTATTTGACTTGCAATATTGTAAATTATAATAAGAAATACAAATTCTGCCCTTGTCACCTGTCCTGGCACAGAGCTTCTAAAACTAGGAACTGAGAGGGACGGAGGTATCATGTTATGTTAACAAAGTGACTTTGGAAAGCCCCTTGGTCACCTAAGGATGAGGACTGGTTTTCAGGGGACCCAACCATGTGTCAGAGGATTGGAGCTATCACACCTGCCAAGGACCTCCCTGGCAGAGAGAGGGCTGGAAGGTGAGTCAGTCACCAGTAGCCAATGAGTTCACCCATGGGCTTGTGTAGTGAAGACTATGGAGCAAGCTGATAGGACAGGGCTCAGAGAGCCTCAGGGTTGTGAACATGTCGGGGTCTGGGGAGAAGGTGCCTGGGCCAGGTGTAGAGGTTCTTTGCCCTTCCCCATTCAGGCCCCATGCATCTCTTCCATCAGGCTGTTCTTAGACCCTTTATAACAAAGCAGTGACCTAGCAAGCAACGTTTCTCTGAGTTCTGTGGGCCACTCTAGCAAATTCATCAAACCCAAGGAGGGGACAGTGGGAACCTCTGATTTGTAGGCCATCATGGGTCAGAAGCCCCGTGAAGCTCATGTAGAACAGAGCCCTTAACCTGAGGGATCTGACATTGTCTCCAGATGACGTCAGGATTGAGCTGAACTGTAGGGTGCCCAACTGGTGTCAGAAAATAGCCTGCTGGTGTGGCAAGAAAACCCCAGTGCCAGACCTCAGACCAGAATCATAGCTTTTAAAAATACAAATGGTTTAATTTGCGCAGAGGAAAGGGCCCATACCATAGATGCACAACTCAACCAGAATAGTGTCTGGATCAGGAGACTGAGCCTTCCAGCCCTCTGCATGGCCCCTCCTGGTGGCCAGCCATGTGGCAGGCAGAATAATACCCCTTTACAAAGTCTATGTCCTAATCCTGGGACCTGAGAACACAGTACCTCTCATGGCAAAGGGGAATTGAGTTTGCAGATGGAATTAAGGTTCCTGACAGGCTAACCCTGAGATGGGAGATGACCCTGGATTACTTGTGGGGCCCAAAGTAATCTCAGGGGTCCTTATAAGAAGGAGGCAGGAGGATCAGAGAGACATCTGGCCTTGAAGAGGAAGGGGCCGTGAGCCAAGGAATGCAGGCACCTCTAGAAGCTAGAAGGCACAAAAACACACTCTTCCCCTGGAGCTCCCAGAAGGATTGCAGCCCTGCTGACACCTTAATGTTAGCCTGGCAAGATCCTTTCTAGACTTCTGACCCTCAAAACTATACGAGAATAAATCTATAGTGTTTTAAGCCACATAATTCAGCAGTCACAGGAAACCAATATAAGCCTCACAGATTGGTTTTGCCTGGTGTTGAATTTGACATAAATGGAGTTATACATTCCTGCTTCTGACTTCTGGCTTCTTTCTTGAGGGTGTTCAGCTCTTGGGGGCTCTGACTCCAAAATGTCTCTGGAAATGTCCACCCACTTACCTCATCTGGATAGTCCACAGCACCCCCTCTGGTCTCCCGCAGGCCACTTCCTACGTGGCATCCCATAGCCCATGGCTTGCCATCTCACCCAGAATATAATGAGGAGCTACAGAACCCCCAGACTACACAGGCAGGAGTGTAAAATGGTGCATCCACCTGGAGAATGTTTGGCAGTTGCTTATAAAGTTAAACATGTGACTGTCCCATGACCCAGCAATGCCATTCCTCAGACTGGCCTAGGAGACACGCAAACTTCTATTCACACAAGACTAGGATATGAACATTCATAATAGCTTTGCTCATGATTACCCCAAACTAAAAGCATCCCAAATGCCCCTCAACAAGTGAATAATAACCGATTGTGTTATATACCTGCAGTACCTGCAGTTCCATGTTTAAAAGGAAAGCCACTAGCCCTGGCTGGTGTAGCTCAGTGGATTGAGCGCGGGCCTGCGAACCAGACAATCGCGGTTCGATTCCCCATCAGGGCACATCCTGGGTTGCAGACCAGTTCCCTGCAGGCCAGTTCCCAGCAGGGGACACACAAAAGGCAACCATACATTGATGTTTCTCTCCCTCTCTTCTTCCCTTCCCCTCTAAAGATAAATAAATAAAATATTTTTTAAAAAAAGTAAAGCCACTATGGCAAGTAGCAGATGAGATGGATGAGTAACAACATGGATGAGTCTTAAAAGCATGATACAGAGGGGAAACAGCCAGGCTCAAAGAAGTTCTGGAACAGATAAAAGAGCTTTCTTCTCATAGGCCCTCTTAATCCATCTGACAGGCACCCCAACCCCTGTGCAGATTGGGAAAAAAAAATTGGTACAGCCCTGACCTGTGTGGCTCAGTGGGTTGGATGTCATCCTGCAAACCCAAAAGTCACTGGTTCGATTCCTGGTCAGGGCACATGCCTGGGTTGTGGGCCAGGTCCCCAGCAGCAAGAGAGTGAGAGGCAACCAGCTGATGTTTCCCTTGCACATCAATGTTTCTCTCTCTCTTTCATCCTTCCTTCCCCTCTCTCTGAAAATAAATAAAATCTTTTCTAAAAATTGGCACAGAGGTGTCCATTGGACAGCAGAGATGGACTGGGAAAAGGTATAAGAGACCTTGATGGAAAAACAAAAATGTTTGTGGTAGGAGGCTGAGTTACACAGGTACATGCATTTACCAAAACTGGGTGACTCAACACTTAAGATAGATGCGTGTTGCTCTAAGTAACATTAACCTTGAAGGAAAAAAAAAAAACATGAGCGAATATTGAACTCTAGTTATGACTTGCGTGCTGAAATATTCAGGGGTAATTTGGCTTGTGTCTGCTACTGCTTTTGAAAGGCATCCAGAAAAATGAAATGGGCTGCTGGGTGGATAGAGAGAGAGATGGGAGCATGGGGGGAGGTGTGTGAGGAAGCAAACAGGGCAAAGTGAATGGTGAAACCTAACGATGGGTATGTGGATGTTCACCATAAACTCTTCTGTTTTGGCAATCACTTAATTCTTTCCCACAGGCCCACAGGCCCTGCCTGCCCTGCCCTTCCCAACCTGCCCTGCCCAGTGCCCTTCCTGCTCTCACCTCCTCATCCTCTCCCTTGCTCACTCTGCTCCCACCACATGGGCCTTCTTACTGATCCTCCAGCACTCTGAGCCGAGTCCTGCCTCGGGGCCTTTGCACATGCTGCTTCATTCTCTGGAAAGCCCCTCTATACCACCACTACCCTCCCTCACATAAACTCAGGCCTTCCTGATCTCTAGGTCTCAGCTCAGATGGCTTCTCCTCAGAGAGACCTCCCTTGGTCACCTCACTTAAAATCAATGCCACCTTGTTTATTTTCCATTAGACTTCATCACACTGTGTTATTTCATTTATTATGAATCTATTTATTTGCATATTGGTTGCCTCTCCTGCTGACTTGGGAGCTCCCTGGAGACAGGAATGTGTCTGCTTTGTTCCTGGCAGTGCCCTTAGCACCTAGCCCAGGCTAGTGTATACAGGTCACTCAGAGAATGTTTTATGGATGGGTGGGTGGATGGATTGATGGACCAAACAAATGGATGAATAGGTAGATGGATGGGTAGATGGACTGATGTGTATATGGATAGATAGACAGACGGATGGATGGATGGATGGATGGATGGATGGATGGATGGATGGATGGACAAATGAACAATGAGTGAACAAACATTCCAAGTGGGGATTGATGTGAGGCTCTGGGCATTTGTCTTAAAATCCTGAGAAAGGGAGAAGCTGTGTGGGCCACTTAGGACGGCTGGGCTCTGCAGACAGGGGCTGGTCCCCGACAGCTCTTGGTGGAAAGCTGGCTCACCTCATTTACTGCTCCGTTATCCCAAGAGCTCGGTCCTGTTGTTGGTTCTCCTACGCAGCTGCTGCCCACCCGTGGTCTGGGATAGCGAGTGAGGCAGCTGATACTCAAACCTCCAGGGGAGGCCCTCAAACTTCCCGGGGAGTCCACCTAGTGAAGGGTGGCCAGGGAGGGAATTACAGATTTCCTTAAATTCTTCATCTTGGGGCTGTATCTGAGGCACCTTCCCACAATGGCAGAAAACCTTCCTGGACACTTGAGAACTCAAGATCATGACCCTACCCAGCCGCCCCCTTGACTTCTAGCCATCATTTTTTTTTTCTGTGAAGTGCAGAATAATAACTACTGTCATGATCTGTGTTGTTAAGGATAACAGGCACCAGGCTGAGCTGAGGAATGGATATGTACTGTCCCTGGTTTACAGATGATCTTGAGGTTCAGAGAGATCAAGTCATTTGCCTAAAGACACACAGCCCAAGTTGAGCCTTAAGCCCCACTGTAATAAACTCCAGGTCGCAGGGCATCAGGGGAGCAAGGGCCAGGCGAATAGGCCCTGCAGCATTACCCAACTTGCAGGCTGAGCTCACCCTTAACTGAACCATCTGTCCACAGGATGTGGTCCAGTCTGAACGAGTGGCTGTGGCAGGACAGGTTCTGGCTACCACCTAATAGCTCGTGGGCTGACCTGGAGGACCGAGATGGCCGGGTCTATGCCCACCCCAAGGACATGCTGGCAGCCCTGCCACTGGCACTGGCCCTGGTGGTTGTGCGCTTCACCTTTGAGAGGTGAGTGTCCCTTGTGGCTGGTGTTGCAGTGCTGGCCTATGCTGCAGCCTTTGTGTGGTTTTGTCTTAGCTTTGAACCAAATTTCCCCCTCCTCCACCCTGCCCCCAGCTGCTGCCACTCACACTCCTCCAGGCTCTGAAGGCTGGTTTATAGGAACACTGGCTGCAGCTCTGGTCTGGCTGTGAAGCCTCTTCGGAACATGGATGGGGACCCGGAGTACATGTGCCCACTTTGCTGGCCAAAGACAGATCTGCAGGGGCCAGTCAGTCAGCGAGCAGAGAAACTCCTGTCCCACCACCCCTCCACTCCATTCCCCAACCTCCTTTCATGAGAGGCTGCCCCTCCCTGGTTCCCCATTGCTCCTTCTATCACCTTCCTTCCTACTACCCTTTGTAGCCAAGGAAGGAGCACAGGCTCTCTAGCCTTGCCTGTGGGGCCCTTTCCACTCAGCCTCAGCCTCCTATAACCTGGCACCAGCCCTGAGTGTATGCCACCCACCCCCCTGGCGACCTCCAGTTGCCAAACCCTGTGGATTTCCAGGCCTTTCTCAGGTGACCCAGATGCTGACCAATCAGAACTGGGTTTCTCCCTGTCCCTGGGTGTCCTTTTCCTGGGCATGGGCATCTCTCCTGGGGTCCCTCCCTTGTGTCCCAGGCAGCCCCTCCTTTTCCCCTATGACCAGAGCTGTAGTCATAGCTCTTAGAGCTATGACCTACCTTGCCAGGCCCCTATCCTGCCGGCCTCCCCACTGTCAGTCCCCTTCTGCTGCCCACTGCCCGCCCCAAATGTTTCCTGTGATGCTGAGGGCCCCTCCCCTTTCTCCACACGCACTTCCTCCTCCACGCCTCACACCTATTCCTGGTTCACCATCTTTGCTGCCACCTGGCCTTTGGACACACTCTCTTGCAGCCCATTTAAGGCTGAGTTTCAGGGAAGCCTGCCCTGCTCCCACAGAGCCCTTAACCCCTCCATCCATTTGGGTCTCCCCCTACCACAGGGACATGAAAGCAGTCTGCCTGCATCTTGCTTTGTGTCTCCCACTCCTAAGGAGTTCCTGGGTGTGGGGTCCCTGGACACAGGGGACCCAGGGAATGTCCACTGACATATGTATTTAACAGGCACCCTCTGAGCACTTATCTGTGCCAGCCACTGCTTACAGCAGCCGAGTGTCTTCACCCACTTTTGTGCTATTATCACCCTCATCTTACAGAAGAGGAAATCGAGGCACAGAGAGGTCAAGTGACCTGTTCGGCGTTACACAGTGCATAGGCCAACAGGGTCTGAGGCTTTTGCCTGAGGGATTCTGAGAGGCCCCATTGGCCAGGCCTTGATGGGTGGGTCTGCTTTCCCACAGGATGGAGAATAGGGGTCAGGGCCTTGCCCAGGTTCACTACTGGAGCCCAGAACAAGATTGTGTGTTTAACTGAGGTGGGAGTGTTATCCCAAAGGCATCAGGTGGAATGATGGAGATGAGATTCTGTCTTGACCCCTGGCCTTGGGAGCCCCCTTGTGGGCAATGTGGTGATTGATCAGAGTCTAGCTCCTCCGGCTGTTCCCCCTGAGAGGGTGAGGCTGGGAGAGGGGAGACCTGAGTGGGAGCCACAGCGCAGATAGGGCCAGACCAGGACCCTAGGCCACCAGGGCACAGGCAGTGAGGGGACTCTGACCCCTAGTTTGGGATTATATTGAATGACGGTGATTGTGTACCCCAAAAGTTGACCTTCACACTCCAGCCCAGCTGCCTTTCTTACACTCAGTCTAATGCAGCAGCCAGGATCCCCTCCAGAGTTCTAGGACATGACCTGGCCCTGCCCAGCCTCAGGGTCACCACCTGTAGCATGTATGTCCCTCCTCGTGTGGACTGATGAACCCTGTGTCCCCTGCACCCAGATTCATCGGCCTGCCCCTAAGCCAGTGGCTGGGTGTGAAGAATCGAGCCAGGAGGCCGGTGCAACCCAACGCCACACTGGAAAAACACTTCCTGGTGGAAGGACGGAGACTCACTGAGGTGAGGGCCAGACCACCCTCCTCCGTCCCCATCTGCCCACATGGCTGCTGTGTGGATGAGGCCTGGGGGTGGCCTGTGGCCCACTTGTTGGGGACAGAGAAAGCCCAGGGCACCTATGCTCTTCCATGACAACCAGACCTTGATCAGTGAGCCCAGCTGACCAATGGGCAGCTCCTGAGCCTGGAGAGGCTCTGGGGAACCAGCATCTCTCCTGCCCTGGGGGAGAGTATTCAGATACTCTGGGGGTTCTGCAGTCTTATGCCCCTGCCTCAGTCCTTATCCTGCCTGGTGGGCAGGGTCTGGGCTGGGTCCTCAGGAGGAAGAGGAAGGGAGAGGTCTTCCTACCCCAGGCACAGGGGGCAGCTCCTGCAGAATATAGAGCCTTGTGATCCCTGTCTCTTGTCAGTCCCTCTGCAGGCACACATGGGGAACAAGGTCTCAAGTGCCTGCCTGAAGCAAGGGTGAGACTCCACTGTTCTGGAGGGGTGGAGGGAAACCTCTGTGGGGAGCTGCTCCCAGCCCTCATCAGTCTTCAGTCTGTCCTGTGAGCAGGGCTGGGTTCTCATTAAGGCCTGACTGTTTGGGGGTCCACCCCATACCTCCCTACTTCCCTATCTTCACAGGTAGAGAGCCCCACAGGTGAGGTCTAGGGCTACAGGGGATGGGTCCCACCAGTCCTGCGACAGGAGTGGGAAGCTACCTCTGTGACGCTGGTCCTCACCCCCCCCTCCCCAGCCTCAGATGGTCATCCTGGCCACCCAGTGTGGCCTCACACTGAGGCAGACTGAACGCTGGTTCCGAAGACGCCGAAATCAGGACCGGCCTTGCCTGACCAAGAAGTTCTGTGAGGCTAGGTCGGCCTGGGGTGGGATTGGGGAGGGGAAAGGGGTGTGCTCTATCAGCAGCTGCCTCATGGGCGTCCTCTCTGTCTGCAGCTGGAGGTTCGTCTTCTATCTGTTCTTCTTCTTTGGTGGCCTCTCAGTCCTCTACCACGTGAGTGTTCTTGACTGCTCCCTGGCTCTCTGCCTGCCCCACAAGCACCCACTATGGGCCAGGCCCAGCTTGGGGTTGGAGGCGGGAAGGCATGTGGGCAGAGGGGAAGAAAGCATGTGCACAGAGAAGGGAGCGAGAACTTGGCAGGGTCCTGGGGAAGCCTGTTGGGACCTCCTGTGTGTGGGGCTGGGGTCGGGCAGTGAGTGAGCTCCTCATCTGCAGTGAGAACAGAGATATAAACAGGAGGGACACAGCAGAGCTGAGTGACAACAGTACCAAGGGCCAGGAGACCCCCAAGGGGGCCCTGGGCCCAGTGTGGGGGGCTGAGGTCTGATCTTTGGGCAGCCTCAGATGTCTGTGTCCTCACAGGAGTCATGGCTGTGGAGGCCAGTGATGTGCTGGGACAATTACCCACATCAGGTGAGTGACGGGTTGCCTGGAGCTGGAGGGGGAATTGGAGTGGTCAGAGTTCATATGGCCAAAGGCAGCAGAGTCAGACCTGGACATGACTCTGTAATCCCCTCCAAGTCCTGCTGTCTGTTTCAGCATCCCCTGGGGAATGGAGAGGGGCTGGGTGTCAGGAAATTTGGAGCAGGAGCAGGAGCAGACACAAAACCACTACCCTTGATTACCTCCTGAGATAGGGAGCTCACACCTTCTTGGCTCACTGGGATTCCAGTATCCTGGTTATGAGCACACCGAGGACCCTGAGGGAGTTTCCACCCCTCATCTAACCCTGCGTCACTGCCCTGCCACAGACCCTGAAGCCGGCCCTGTACTACTGGTACCTCCTGGAGCTGAGTTTCTACATTTCCCTGCTGATCACTCTGCCCTTCGATGTCAGGCGCAAGGTGAGGCCCCGCCAAGAGTCCAGCTGGGGAAGTGATGAGCTGTGGAGTCAGGGTCCAGTTCCAGTTGGGGAGGGATGGCCTCACCGACACCTGGAGATCCCCAGGCACAAATCGTGGTGCCAACCAACCGCCTGGGGAGCCCCTCCAGCTGCCCAGCCATGTGCTGGCAGTGACCTGCTGTCTCTTGCAGGATATCAAGGAGCAGGTAGTGCACCACCTCGTGACCATCATCCTCCTCACCTTCTCCTACAGCACGAACCTGCTGCGCATTGGCTCTCTAGTGCTGCTACTGCATGACTCTGCGGACTACCTGATGGAGGTGGGTCTAGCCCCCTTCTCAGAGGTCCTATCGCCTGCCTAGGGCCCCTGGAGATGAGGCCCCGCCCCTCTCAGGCTTCTAGTAAAGTGAAGCCACGCCCACTCCACTTTCCAGGGAGAGCAGACTTCACCCTAGTCAGTCTTGGCAGATGAGTCCCAGCCCCTCTCTGTCTTCCTGAGAGGTGAGGCCCCGCCTCCTGCGATTCCTGGAAAGTGAGGCCCCGCCCTTCCAGGGAATTGAAGCTTCTGAGACCCAGTTTGTACCTTTGTAGGCAGTTTCTGGAAATAAGGCTCCGCCCCATGGTGCCCTTTCCTGGGGAAAAGGCCCCCCTCCTTCCCACCTGGTCTCCCCACCGCCACCACCACCCACCCGAATCCTTCCCTCTCTGCTGTCTTCCGCAGGCCTGTAAGATGTTCAACTATGCGCACCAGTGGCCCGTGTGCAACTCACTCTTCATCATCTTCTCCTTGGTCTTCTTCTACACTCGCCTCGTGCTCTTCCCCACCCAGTGAGTCAGCCCTCCAGTAGGTGCTGGACAGATGGGTGGGCGCAGCTGGATCCAGGCCTGTCTCACTCTGTTTCAGACCCAGGGAGCAGGGGGTATTGGTTGTGAGGCTTCCAGGAGGAGGCACAGAAGGCTGTTGTGTTCCCAGCCCAGGGCACAGCATGAGCCCAGAGGTGAAGGGGACAGAAAATGGCTCAGTCTTTGTTCCCCGTGTGCCTGAAACATGGAATGGATGGCGGGACTGGTGGCCAGCTCACTGAAGCCTTCGCCCAGTGTATTAGCTGAGCCTCTCCCAGCAAAGGGAGCAATGTGATTTCTGCTCACGTGGAGCTGACACTGGGAGACTGAATAAGTAAGGCAAATAAGTAGATAGAGAGCACACAACAGAGTGGTGATCATGTTAATAAGAAAATAAAGACAGGCCCAGGAAGTGTGTGGGTAATTGGAATTACAGGCATGGCCAGGGAAGGCATCTCTGACAGTGTTCACGCAGAAAGACTGGAGTGAGGCGAGGAGGGGCAGTGCTGATCAGAGCAGAAAAGGCTTCCGGGCAGTGGGAACAGCACAACCAAAAGCCCTGCGCCTGGACTGTGCCTGGTTTGTTGGAGGAACAGCAAGCCCATATGGCAGGAGCAAAGTGAGGTAAGGGGAGGAAGGGGACCAGACAGGTTGTACAGGGCCTGGAGAACTTGGGTTTTCATCCCAAGCTAAGTGGAGGATACGGAGTCCAAGAGGGAGAGGACCTGACTTGGGTGCTCATAGGCGCCCTCTGGTGGCTAGAGAGAGAACAGCTAGTGAGAGTCCCCACCGCCCAGCCAGGAGCTGGGGGACCAGGACAGAGGCCACTGCACTGGTCCAAGTGAGCAGTGATGGGACTGGGCCAGTGCAGGTGAGAGAAGTGGGTGGACTCGGGAAACATTCAAGTCATGATGTGGTTTTGAGTTCAGAGTTGTTCCTTGAGGATCAGGAGCTCAGCTTTGACTATGTTGGGTTTAAGGGGCCTGCAGGCCACCAAGAAAAGTCATAGAGGATACAGTGGACACAGGAGAGATGTGAATGTTTGGTGTTTGCAGCCATGAGATCAGACAGGTCATGCAGGGACAAGGTGTGGAGATGTGTACCAGTCAGGGGAAGGGTAGAGGGGCAAGAGGAAGTGGCTGTGACCTGAGGAGGTGGGAGTGTGGGCCCCTGAAAGCACACAAGGGGAGGGTCTTGGGGAGGAGGGAGGACCAGCTGGGCACCTTCTGCTTGAGCCAAGCAGGTCACTGGTGACCTTACAGCTGATTTGGGTGAGGGTGGCTGCGGTGGGGGGGGGGGGAGAAGCTTGCTGAGTGAGGGGGAAAAAGCAGCTTGAGAAGAGAAGGAAAAGTGTGAAAGGACCACCCAGGACAGCAACTGGAATACTAAGTGCCCTGTCGGGGTTCATGGTTGTGCATGATTAGTAAGCTTGTGTGATCTTATTTAACGTGTAACCAAGTGAGAGGGGGGCACTTAAATACCCAGCTGAAGAGCATAGGTATTACTCTGGGGACAACAGGGAAGTCATCAGAAGTTCTGGAACAGGGAAGGCCACACATGTTAGAGCTTCCTAAGACTGGGGGCTAGAGTTGCTGGTGAAGCCCACCTCTCCCTTCTGCCTGCCCACCCACCTACCTCAGGATCCTCTATACCACGTACTACGAGTCCATTGCCAACTCGGCCCCCTTCTTTGGCTATTACTTCTTCAACTCACTTCTGGTGATGCTGCAACTGCTGCATGTGTTCTGGTCTTGCCTCCTCCTTCGTATGATCCACAGATTCACGAAGAAAGGCCAGGTAGGGCCAGGTGAGGGTGGGCTCCCATGTGCTGTCCAGCAGCCCCAGCCCAGCCCCAGCCCAGCCCCAGCCCAGCCCCATACCCACTCTCTGTTTCCCAGATGGAGAAGGACATTCGCAGTGACATAGAGGAGTCGGAGTCGAGCGAAGAGGAGGGAGCCCGGGAGCATCCGGAGCTCGAGAATGGGGCATCTCAGGGACCTGGGGTGGCCTCTACTGATGGCCCTCGGAGCCGGGCAGCTAGGCAGCTGGCCAGTGGGCATATGTTGGCCACGTAGCTAGCCAAGGACTGACTGTGCTCCTCCCAGTGCCTTGGATTTGTGGGGTGGCTGCACCGGCCAGCTTCGTGGAAACAGGGAGGGCCCCACCCCAGGGTGGGGGAAGGGCTCATGACCTGTCTCCAGACCCTTCCTTCTGCTTACCCTCGCTCCTTTCCTTGGGGCACTAGACAGAGCTGGGCAGTGGGCAGCAGCAGGGTGCTGCAGCCCACCAGAGTCACCATGAACCTGCAGTCCGGGGACTGTGAAGAGCCCCAGTGTGAAAGCAGTCCAATAAAACTTGAACAGAGCCAAATCCTCTGCCTGACTTTGTGTCCTGTCATAGCTCCTCAGAAGCCCCAAGGAAGCCAGGACTCTGTTTACATACTCCACTGACAGGGACACTCACTGCCACCCCAAGACATATGCTTGGTCCCAGAGTACCCGGACAGCAAGCAGCCCTTGGAGATTCCCCCAGGCAAGTCCCTGAGTCCCAGCCAATGCCTTAGCCAAGCCACCCCCTTCCACCCCAGGGCAGCCTACAGACCCAGCTTACACATGACTTTGCCTGTGGTTACGGGTCAGAGGCCAAGGAGAAGGGCAAAGGGGAGGCTCATTTCTAGCCATGCAGCCCTTGCTCAGTGTTCTCTGGGCCTCCTTGGAGAGAGAGAGGTCGGGTCCATGGGTGGGGACTCCCACTGCTTCCCAAGGGTAAGCCTGGGTGAGGTCATTTTCTCTTCCAGAGCTCTGCAGGAAGGTGTCCCCCTCTTGTCCTTCCAGCTGAGACAGACTGAGAAACGGTGTCCCATACACCACAAATCACAGCCACAAGGCCCCATTGCAGGGCTGGAACATCCTGCCTTCAGGGGAACGGCAGAAAGGTGAGTTGTAGAAAAAAATGAAGTAGGAGATGGCAAAGGAAGGGCACCGTGTGGGAACAAGGGGGAGGGCAACTATTTTAGAGAGGACAGATCACTGAGAGACAGAGAGGAAAAAAAAAAAACAGGATCAAAGAGAAGCAGATTTGAGAAGAAATGGTGAGAAGTGGCAGTGGAAGAAGAAAAGGAGGTCAGGGGGGCCGGAGAGGCAAGAGAAGACAGTGAATCAAGACTAGACTGAGCACCCTGCCTGCTGTGGTTCAGTGGATTGAGTGCCAGCCTGCAAACCAAAAGGTTGTCAATTTGATTCCCTGTTGGGGCACATGCCTGGGTTGCAGGTTCTGTGCAACTGATCAGTGTTTCTCTCCCTCTCTTCCTCTCTACCCCTCTCTCTAAAATAAATAAATATTTTTAAATGAGAGACAAAAATGTTTGAGAAGCTGGAAAGAGGGACTAGAAAGGGGAGAGGGAAGAACAGATAGAGAGGCAAGTGGCAGATTGCATGGGAACAAGAGCAAATAAGACAAGAGAAAGAAGGGAGGGAAAGAAGCACTGGAGAGAAAACAGTAAAGAGCAGACCCAGAGCTTTGAGAGAAGATGAGGTGTTAGAGAGAAGGACTTGCAAGAAGGTGGAAGAACTTTGAGGAAGAAAGTGGGAGAGAAGATTGAGAAATGGCAAAAGAGATGGAAGAGAAAACAAGGGGCATCAAAGGCTTATCAAATAGAAATGTGAGAGAGTAAATATTGAAAGAGAAAAGCAGATCTGGAGATAAGGGAAACATGGGATAAACAGGTTGCTCAGAGGGAAAGATTCAGTTGGTCTTGAAGCAAATCAAAAAGATGCGCAACATTTCCCTGGTGTGGCTCAGTTGGTTGGAGCATCCAACAGTAATGAAAAGGTTGTGGTTTGATGCCAGGGCTAGGCACAGGCACATACAACCCCCCCCTCCACCCCCACCCTCATAAGGACCTTGCAATCGCTTGTCTGAGCAAGCATGGGAGGCAACCAATAATGCTTCTCTCTCCCATCGATATTTCTCTCTTGTCCTTCCATGCTCTGAAGCAACTGAAGAAAAAAAATGGCCTCTGGCCCTGACTGGTGTGGCTCGATGGACTGAGTGCCCACCTGTGAACCAAAGGGTTGCCAGTTAGATTCCCAGTCAGGGTTGTGGGCCAGGTCCCCAGTAGGGGGTGCATGAGGCAACCACACACCGCTGTCTCTTCCCCCTCTCTCCCTTCCCCTCTCTAAAAAAAAATATATATATATATTTTTTTAATATTTTATTTATTTATTTTTCGAGAGAGGGGAAGGAAAGGAGAAAGAGTGGGAGAGAAACATCAATGTATGGTTGCCTCTCATGCATACCCTGCTGGGAACTGGCCTGCAACCCAGGCATGTGCCCTGACTGGGAATCGAACCTCAATACTCTGGTTCACAGGCCCGCGCTCAATCCACTAAGCTATGCCAGCCAGGGCAAATAAATATATTTTTAATGTCCTTCAGTGAGGATTAAAAAAATGAACAATGTAAAGATGTTCAACTTTTTTTTAAAAAGTGCAAACTAAAACGACAATGAAAATTTGTTTCTTGCCAGCTATCCTGACAAAAGCGACAGTGACAGTGCCCTCTTGTGGTGAGATTTGCAGGGACCATGAAGCTGCTCTCCAATGCATTTATTTCCTGTTTATCCCTGAATATACCTCTAGATCTCCCTGGTATGCCTACAAATCAATAAGAAAAGAATAACCAACCTAAAAATAAAACGAGAAAAAAGACACAATGCACATTTATAGGAGAGAAGACACAGCCAATAAACACGAAGATATGCTCACTCATTCATAATCAAGAAAGTGCCAGCAAGACTGAGACACCATTTTAGACCCATTCAATTGTCAAAAATAAAGAAATTGGACAAAGCCAGTGTTGGAGAAGATAAGGGTCAATAAAAATCACAGACATTACTGGGGAGAGTGGACACCAGCACAATCACTTGGAAAGCCACTCAGCATTGTGTAAAATTATTGACCATTTTATATAGTTCAAAAGCAACTCAAACGAAATGATGTATTGTTTAGGTGCAAATGTCTAGTAGAACTATTAGTAGCCCTTCCTTATCCAAGATCCTCAGAGGATGCTAAAACCACAGATTGTACCAAGTCATATATATATATATATATATATATATATATATATATATATATATACTATTTTTTTAAAGATTTTATTTTATTTTAGAGGGAGGGGAAGAGAGGGGAAAAGAAACATTGATCAGCTCCCTGTCTCACACCCCCAACCAGGGGCCTAGCCTGCAACCTAGGCATGTGCCCTGACCAGGAATTGAACCAGTGACCTTTCAGTTTGCGGGATGACGCACAACCTACTGAGCCACAACATTCAGAGCTGTACCATGTTGTGTTTATTTTTAGAATTTTTCATTTAATATTTTTGTGCCACAGTTGACCACAGGTACCTGAGGCTACAGAAAGCAAAACCTCAGGTAAGGGGGAACTACTGTATTTCTTTAATAAAATACAAACAAAATTCAAAATACAAGCCCTGGCTGGTGTAGCTCAGTGGATTGAGCACAGGCCTGCGAACCAAAGGATGGAGGTTCGATTCCCAGTCAGGGCACATGCCTGGGTTGCAGGCCAGTTCCCAGCAGGGGACCCACGAGAGGCAACCATACATTGGTATTTCTCTCCCTCTCTCCTTCCCTTCCTCTCTAAAGATAAATAAGATCTTAGAATTTTTTAAATTAAAAATACTGTTACATTACCTTTGATCTGGGGAAGCATGAGAATGGGATTCAGGTGGGTATAAATTACTGTCACTGTACTAGCTTTTGAAGTTGTGAAGTGTGGTGACAGATATATTATTAAATACAATTTAAAAGGGACATGCAGTCAAGAGCCATACGATTTCACTCATGGAATATAAAACTGAAAGCAACAGCTCAGTTGGTTGGAGCATCATCCTGTAAACCAAAAGGTCACGGGTTCAGTTCATGAGCAGGGCACATACCTGGGTTGCAAGCTCAGTCCCCGGATGGGGTGCATCTGAGACACAGTCAATCAGTGTTTCTCTCTCACATCTACCTTTCTTTCCCTCCCTTCTCCTCTTAATTCAGTAAGCATGTCCACAGATGAGGATAAATATATATATTTATATATTTGAGTGTATGGTGACAGAAGGAGACTTAACTTTGAGTGGTGGACACAATTCAACATATAGATAATGTATCATAGAATTGTATACTTGAAACATATAATTTTATTAGCCAATGTCATCCCAATAAATTTAATTTTTAAAAAGTTAAAGGAGGGGCTGTGTGAAAAGACATAAAATATTTGCAAGCCATCTATCTGAAAAGGGCCTAATATGTGAAGTATGAAAAGAACTCTTACAAGTCAACAACTGAAAAACAAAACAAAACCCAATTAAAGGATGGACAAAGGACTTGAATTGTTTCTCCAAAGAAGATATACAAATAGCTAACAAGCACATTAAAAGATGTTCAACAAATCAGTCCTGGCTGGTGTAGCTCTGTGGATTGAGCACGGGCTGTGAACCAAAGGGTCACTGGTTCATTTCCTAGTCAGGGCACATGCCTGGGTTGTGGGTCCGGTCCCTAGAGGGGGCCACATGAGAGGCAACCACACATTGATGTTTCTCTCCCTCTCTTTTTCCCTCCCTTCCCCTCTTTCTATAAATAAAAAAAATAAAATACTGCTAAAAAGGGCACTCAGTGGTGACCTGGGCTCAAACTAAAAACCTAGCAGCCATTTCTACTTCTACACAGGGGCCTCTCATGCAAACCACTTGAGAGAGAAGCCTGCATTGAACTGCCTGTTTTAAAGGCAGTTCTGCCCTCTGAGCCAGCCCTTATAAAACAGTTCCTGGAATCCTCTGCCCTCTGAGCCAGCCCTTATAAAATAGTTCCTGGAATCCTACTTCAATCAGTGGAACTGAGGCTTTCCCCATCCAATCTGAGCTGGGCAGCTATATATCCAGATCAGCTTCTTCAGCAACCAGCCAGAGTGGCTCCATTTTGACCAATCAGGGCAGTGTCTTTTTGGATCAATTTGGTGATTTGGAGTCTTCCTTTATATGAAGATGGACCAATTAGGGACCATAGGCAAGGACTTCCTCTGGCTTGGGGAGTGCACTTACCCTTTCCACCGAAGACTTAGTTTCTCTGGCTGAGCAGAAACACTGAAAATGTCTCACCAGAGCAGATTAGTGTAGGCCAGAGCATACTGGCACAGAGCAGAGCAGGGAAGAGCTGTTTAGCTGGAGAGGGGTGAAGCTACTGCCTACCTGACCCCAGGGCTGCCTCACAGCTGTGCTGTATCACAATTGAGCTGTTTTACACTGAATAAAGTTTCCTTCTTCACCGCACCCCAAACTCGGGATTCCAGTTGTCATTGAATTGGCCAACAGGTTGACAAC